GAATTTATCCAGACCTTCTACACATTGTAGACTTACAGATGTGCAGCGATGTCATTTCCAGTTGCCTCCTGGAATTGAGTGATGGCGCTCACCGTCCTCGAGATGCGCAGCTTCAGGAGCATCGCAAGCGCTATGAGCAGTGGTGCCATCAGCAGGGATCCATGGCAGCATCCACCCACTATGGAATTTAAGTTTTGCAAACAACAGTTGGGTGAACTTTGTTTTCTGCATTGTTGAAGATATATTTTTGGGGAAAAATTGGAAAGGGTCATGGTGAGGTTCAGTGCTTACTTCAGGTGTCCCTTGGCCCCTGAGAGGGACAGGGAGGTTATTCACTTCCAAAATCCTTCTTTCTGGTGGTACAACGCAGTATTGCAGCATTTCCCAAAAAGTCTTGAAGGGTGCAGCTGCCCGCATCATGATCTATTGGCTGTGTCTTTTGGTGGCTGAAAAATGTGATGGGTCGGAACATGATCTGAAACTCGGCTTTGCTCATGATCCGACATTTTCAGGAATGTTATCCATGTTTTCTGAACTTGGCAGATGATTCCCCAATTTTTTCTTTTACTTCCCACATGGCACTTTTGGGCCACCAGCTTTCACTGCAGGCACAGGCTCAACGTTTGCATTGGTTTGGCCTCCTTCTATGCAGTTTGCGGGGAAAACCAGAAGCTGGTCTGCACACACAAAGGGCTACATTTTCCTTCCGGAAATAGAATTGGTTTTTTCTCAAATTTCAGAGGTTTGTTTCCTAGCATGGGAGGCCCCCCAAACAAAGTTCCATTTCCTTTTTCTGGACCTTAGCCAAGTAAGGAGATATTGGCCTGAAATTTGGCAGGTGGAGCACCCATACGATACATTGGTCGAGTCTTACATGAAATTCCGCTGTTCATACAATTGAATCTTGGCAAAAAATTGTCGATTTGGGGGTAATCTCCATATCCATGGGTTGCAAAACTCCAAGCCAACCAAGACCAAGTCTTCATGGACTGCGTGTTTTCCATTTATGGGATTCCATTTTTTTGGACCTTGTCCGGGTAAAAACCCAACAACAGTGTAAAATTATTCGCACACCAAATTCCAATGTTTCAAGGTTCCCCTTTCCCATTGCGTTCTCAACTCTCGTTTGTATCTTTTCTGGGGCAAAACCCAAAAATACGCCTTGCAAAAAAAAAGGAAATTTAATAGATAGAGAGAGATTTATATATATATATATATTGTATATATAAATATATGTGTGTATATATATATATATCTATCTATCTATCTATCTATCTATCTATTTATCTATCTATCTATCTATCCATCTAACTATTTATCTATCATTATCTATATATACACAAAATAGTCACGTTGCGTGTGCAGCCTTGAAGGGTCCTATCCCACTAGCGTGCGCTGTCAAGCTAAGGGTTGGCAGATAGCAGTTTGACTCGTGGAATCCTTCGGTGGCCTCTCCGGCCAAAGCAACATCAGATGGAACGTCTGGCGCTGGACTTTTCTTTTTACGGCAACCCGAAATACTTTAGCTGCCTCAGTGATGAAGATTGCATTGGCCGTGTGAAGCGAATCTGTTCGCACACTCACCCACAAACGCTTTCAGTCAGAGCACTTGAGCATTACGCTGTAGCTGCAGCGTCAGTGTGGGTGGGCAACTTACTGTCAACGGAGCAGTAGAAAAATCAGAGCATGGAGATGGGGCACTTGTTGGGTTCTCAGCCGGCCATGGACACAGGATCCGGAATAGGTGTTTAAAAAACGCATCCCACAATTGTTCCGAGAAAGAAAATTGATGATAAAACGGCAGGAATTGGGGAAAGAATTTTGTTTAGAAATGCAGCACGCAGTGAACTGCCAAACTATTGGGATGTTGCTTGACAGTGCCACAACAAGTAATTTGATCGATTTACGTGCTATGTGCTAATTTTCTGGCATGTGTTTTTTGAATATATAGTGTTACCTGTGTTTTCTGTTCTGATTCTATCATTCTATCTGACATATGTTCTGGCATTCTAGCTGACATATTTTCTAACATTCTATCTGGCATTCTATCTGACTTTTGTTAGGGCATTTTATCTGGCATTCTTTCTGACATTCTATCTGTCACTTGTTCTGACATTCTATCTGACATGTGTTCTGGCAATCCCCCCACAGTGAAATCAGCAACCAGCTAAGAAGATGACTGCTGCCGATGTGCAATTCAACTTCAGAGCGCGTATCGCTTGGGAAGAAAGTGTTGGTGATGAGGCCTTTTCGTGATTTGCGTCTTAGCTTTGCTCATGGCTTGCAACTTTCCAGCACCAATATCGGCGAAAGCATGACTGGTTCCGATTGGCACCCCAAGGCAGAATTGATTTATAAGGTCGCCTACCTTATAAATCGTTTATCAAGTCTTTTAGCCTCTGTTGGCTATGGTAGGCTGCCCATGCGAAAAGAAAGCAACATCAGCTGGGCGGAGCGCCCTATTCATGGGGTCTTCTCCATTGATACTGGGCAAGAGTTCACTGGCCCGCATCATGAAAAACCAACCTGTAAGAAGGGCTCCTTTGATCATGGTTTGATCGACAACTGATAAACCGCTACTTTTCAAGTGCTGGACCAACCATCGCAACATGTTGGGGGTAACAGGGAGCTTTCGTTTTGGGGCACCTTCCCAACGTTGTAGACCCGCAACCGCTGCCCACAACCGAGGTCGCCCGACCAGTGGATCAGGGTATCCTGCCGCAACATGTGCATAACGAATGGCTGACAACCTTTGTCTGACCCCACCTATGGACCTTCCCATGACTTGATGTAGAAATCGTTGGCACCCCCTTTGAAGCTGAGGCTCTCTTAGGAGATACTTCGCCTTTATTCGCTTCGGTTCCGGGAGGACCACAACCTGTTCTTCAAAGTCTAGGTGGAGGCCCCACAGGAGCTGGGATTTTGCCGGGGTGCCTTCTTCGGCGAGCTTGTCGAGATTGATGGCTCCAGGGCCCCAGACTGATACCATAGCTGCATCCATTGCTGACAGGGATCTCTGGATCCTATTCCCCACTAGTGGCTCTACCACCACGCCGTCATCTATCAGCCATCGGCTGGTGTAGGGAACCACATCGTTGAATTGAGGATGGCATGGTCGGAACGACCCGTGGTGCTTTTGGGCTGCGGTGGCCCATATCACGAACTCCCCTGGCGCTCCTACCCAACCGAACACCATCACCAGACTCAGGATCAGCACACCTAGAATCCTCGTGCAGAATTCAGGGACATCGCCCGGCTTGAGGAAGTGCCACTTGAAAGCCCTTGGCACATCGCGTTTCGCACACCTCTGTGGAACCTTCGGGTGTCGCACCCTCCACCAAAGGCTTTGCCTGACCACTGCTCTGTGCCTAGGCTGAGCGGCGGGTGGGTGGTCGTATTTGGAGCCCGAAGCATTCCTGGCTCGCATATCGTTGATGGGACGACCTTCCGCTGAGATGGTTCTGTCGGGGTTTTGCTTGGGCACTCGGCCGAGAGGGCTCTCGGCCACCTTGCTCTCGGTCAGTATCTGGTCGATTTGCCGATTTTCTTCTTGGTCCTCGGTCTCTGTGGAACACAGAAGTACCGCCCCATAAGATGCGTCTTTCCATGCCTTCTGCAGCATCTCTTCCTCGTGCCCCCTGACGGAGCCGTGGTTTCGGGCCTTCTCTCTCTTGGGGGTACTCTTAGCTCGGCTGGGCACGCCCTTGAGCACACAGTCTTTCAAGTATTGCTTGTGTAGGGGGCTGAGCCCTTTCAATGCTCCTTCCTTTGCCTTCTGGAAGTGTTCCCCATACTTCCTCAGCCTCGCTTTGTTGACTAATTCAGCTGCTCTTGGCACCGAGCCGGCGGCCCTCAACAACGCATTTCCTGCCTCTGTGGCTTTTCTCACTGCCTCCTTGCTGTAAGCACTCTGGCATACCTCCAAGTATTTCTCAGCAGTGCTTTGGCCATTGGCGTCGTCGACGCTGCCTGCCCTTGTGCCCTGCCCCTCAGCTTGCTTTTCGGGATCGGAAACAGACCCCTCCCCCCCACAAAACGTACAAGGGTAGACCATCTGTTGGAGCCCGCATCCTGAACATAGCCATGTGGGAGGCCTGGTCCATCCGCTTGGCCAGCAACCACCGGTGCCAAATGTTGGCCAAGTGTTCGCTCCAAAGTATTGGCTGGATCAGCCGGCCAAGGGGGTGCGCCCAGTTCGGTCCAACATTTCTCTAGGGCTTTGAGCACGCTGTGCTCTTGCAGATATGTTGTCCAGCTCCATTCTTCAAAGGCTGCTCGGACTACCAGACCCCAGGCTGCACACAAAGCTGGTGCGTATTGCTGTGCCAGTCGAGTGAGAGGTACTTGAGGAATTGGACTGGGTCCCTTCAAGGGTGCGTGCTGGTGAGTCGGGCCGACTCCTGGGCACTGCCTACCAAGGAATAACAAGGCCCATGGGTAGAGTTCTGGGGAGACCAGCCACCAAGAATGCTTGCGATGAAACAGGCCCTCCTCGTCTCAGGCGGTCCCAGACCCCAAGCGCACATAGCCATAGAGACAATTTTTGCGCCGGTGCGGCGGCGGAGCCTCTGCATACAAGGCAGGTCCCATATCTTGGGGTAGCGGCCCGACGGCGCGCTACTCTCCAATACGAAGACTCTTCCGTTGTCCGCCAGAACCGTACAAAGTTCGGCTGCGAACTCTGCGTCTTCATTTCCTTGAACTTCAGAGGGACGAGTGCCGTCGCCTTGTGGGCGTTGCCAGGTCCTGCTGCCACCGTTCTTCAGCTGGTGGTCGCAGAAGGAAGTACAAACGACTCCAAGCTGCCAAGTGTTGGGGACATCGGGCCCTGGTGGAGCACCAGCTAATCCCAGCAATCGTTCTCGGACCTTCGGGTCACGGGTATCATGCTGCGGCTTAAAGCCCTTTTGCTCGATCGGGTCCTCATAGTATTCAATGGGTTCTCCGCACGGGATCCCCTGGTACTGAAGCCCCTTGGTCCATCCTGCCCATCCAGCGTACACCTCTTGACCAATTGGCCCATAGGCGAAGGCGAGCCTTTTTCGCAGAGGCACCCCGCTGTTTTGAAGAGCCTGTGGATCATCCTGCAAGCAGGACTCAAATGAAGCCGGTGGCAACGGGAATCCTTCACCAACACGATAAGGCCTTTGCTGCTGTTGCTGGCATCTTGTGCAGGCGGGGGACTTGGCTGGAACCATCTGATCCTCCACTTTGCTCTGGTCCAAGATCACCCTCCAATGTTTAACCTGAAGTTCCCTGGTGACCTTGTCTGCAGTCCTCAGGTGATCCAACAGCTGCTGGGGCTGTTGTGGAAGAAGCAGGCGCATATGCCCCCGGTGGATGGTAACGAAAACTAGCTTCCCATTGCCAGCATCATCTCCGTGGAGCAAGTCGACCTCCAACCGACCAAAATAGGAAATCCTGAGGACCGCCAACGTGTATCCTTGCAGCATGGATCCTGTGAGGGTTTGCAAGGCGCGGTAGTCTTTCTCGTGGTGAGGATAGAGGCAATCATGTGACGTTTTGACGCAAGAAGTGCTCGCCCTCAGGTATCCACGCTGGCGGATCGCCAAGGTGTGCGTGAGCCTCCACTGCTTCATCCCAGAGATGTTTTCTCAACTGGTTGGCTCTGGCTACGGCCTCTCGTAGTTCTACAGATGGATCATCGGCCAACGCTAACCCGACACCCACATGAAGAGGCAGGCATTGGCGCTCTTCTTCCAACTGCCCGTCTTGCAGTGGGACCTCGCTGTCTTTTGCGTTCAAGCGATCCTGGTAGTCACGGACCGTGACTGAGCCGATATGCGACAAGTTTCCTTGAAAGTTCAACAGGCCATGACCAATACCCTCGTCCCATGTGATGGGCGTAAATTCGACATCCGCTTGGTGACCCGCTTTTGGCTCGTGCTTGAGGAGCTCAAGTTGACGTCCGGCTTCCTTAGAGAGCGCGGGATGTCCATGTTCTGCCGCATCTTCGAGACACCGGTTCAGCTCCAGTTCATATCCTTCATCTTGTGCTGCCATCATGCGTGCAATCACATGGGACCTGAGATAATCCGTGGGCGACTCCAAGGCCGCCAGAACCCCTTTCTCCTCCAGCGACTTCCATCGTTTCAGCCTTTCCCGCTCCTCTTGGCTCTGGTCATCCCAAGCCGGAGCGGCTTCTTGCTCAGTGGGTTGTGAGGGTATTCGCAGCCAGCCCTCATCTGGGCCCTGAACCGCCTCTTGCAAGTCAGTCTCGAGATGGGTCAGAGGGATATCATAGTCTTCAGGTGCGACCCACTGGGTGTTCCCAACCTTGTCTTCTTCAGCTTTACCCTCAGCTTCCTTCCCAGCTTTGGCCTTTGGCTTGGGCTTGACTTTCGCTTTCTTGCTAGGTTGGATCTTGTCGGCCTTATCCGCCGCTGCCTGGGTTCGCAGCTGAGCGACCCTTCCGTCGACCTCTTTGGGATCGATTTTCGGCCCACCTTTGAGTCCTCCTCTTCGAATGACCTGCATGGCAACTGTGTAGTCAAGTTTGGCCAATCCCGGCAAAGGCTCGTGCGCGTGCTGGCACTTGTCGCCTCTTGTGCATCCCATGTGTGTGGCCGCATCCCAGCAGATAGGTTTGTTGGTCTTGGGATCCTTAGGTGCGTGCTCCACGGACCGTGAAGCTTCTCCTTGTGTAAGCCGTTTTCCAGCTGGGTAGGCTGATTTCATGCTGCCGCCCGCATATCCATCGGCCTCTTTGTCTTTCAGGTTAAGCTTTGGGGCTTTCCCTGTCCTTGGCTCTTCATCTTCAGCTGGACCAGCTGTCTTCTTCTGCTTGAGGTTGTGGTCGTGCAGCTGCTTGTGGAGCAGCCTCGACATTTGCCTTTGCTGCCTGGGTACCACAACTGTCTGGTAATATCCGTTCGGGTCGCCCAGATCCCATATGCTTGGAAACTGGAAGTTTGCTTGCCCATCCGCTCCCGGCGCCAAAGCTAGCAGCTTCAGGTCTTCAAGCCGTGGATTTTCGGTCCCCAGCAGAGAGCAGAGTTTCCTTCTGCTTTCTCGCAGTTCTTCGCACCAAGCCGCGACAAGTTCCTCAAAGAGCTCGATGCAGTAGGCAGCTGGGAAGGCATGCTCGTCTTCTTCATGGGCCTCCTTCAGGGCTTGGAGACAATCGAGCCTTTCTTGGATATGCTCTGTACCATAGCAGGATCCAAACACGCGAACTGAGTTTTCCGCGTGCCTGAGCCAAGTGTTGAAGACTCCTGGTGGTCTCATGCGATTTTCGATCTTGTTGTCGGAGGACGGATTCCAACTGTCCAACTGCTCGGACCGAGCGGTAACGCAGTCACTTGCGTGCAAGGTATAGGTGTCTTTGCCACCCCACCACAGACCAGCGATGCCAAGTAGGACCCTGTTGGTCATCAGCACCGGCCATTTGATCAAGTGCAGCATATGGCGAGCGTGATTTGCCACCCTTTTCCCCGCGTGGAAAAGTTCCTTCCCGTACACTCCCGGTGCGAGTTCAACGGTCAGGGTGCCACAGCCTCGTGCCAGGAAGACGTCCATCTTCTCCGCCTCTTTGATAGAACTCAAGGTCCCTTTCGTGAGGTTTTTGTCGTCATCCTGTGCTCTTCTCAGACCGTCGATGGCGTGAATGATGCGGTCCGCGCTCTAGACTTGTGTGCTGTCTCCGAGGGCTTCTCCGAACGTGGCTCCTGCTCTGCCCTCCGGCATCTGCTCCGATGCTGGTTTCACGAGACTGTTTCGACCGCCTGACCCCTTGGGAAAGAGCGACAATCCACCTCTCTGGACCGGGGAGATTGAGGAGGAGCTCCTCGGCAGAAGTGGATTCGCCGGCCGGGGGACTGCTGGCTTTACGGCCACTCCTCCTGGCATAGTTGCCGTCACGGGTCTTCTTGCAAACTCCATTTCGCTTTGGTCGGCTCCCAATCCTGGTGGTGTCGTTGGCTTCGAGTAGCTAAGGCGGTGATTCCTCGCATACATCGACTGAGCCAGTTGCTCATGATCTAGGTCGAAGGCAGTGGCCACGGTCTGCAACACTTCGGAATCTATCTCTCCCTCAATGTGCTGGTCAAGAGCTCTTCGAGCCGCCTCCATTCTTCCCTGGCGATCTGAATCATCTAGGTCTGGGAAGGGTGGAATCGCCGGTCCCGCACCCTCTTCCAGCTCGACTTTCGGCTTTGGCGGTGTCATAAAGTCGTCGGACATCTCAGCTTCTTCACGCAAATATGCATCAGCATGTGGGAGGATCTCCCGGTAGAGTCTCCCCTGCCAGGCTTTACTTGGCTTCGCTCCTTCATCCGTCACCTCACCGTCCCAGGCATTCAGGGCCGCTGCTTGGTCTTCGGACAGGCGCGCGACCAAGACCGATATCCCTTGGCCGACTTCTTCGTCATGGGTATGCTGAAGGAACTTCTGCACCCAATGCTTACTAATTCGACCTGCCCCGTTGTCTCGAGGGGACCCTTTCAACAGCCTTCTGTGGATCACACACGTTTGCTTCAAGGAAGGGATGTGGACTTCGAGCAGCTCCTGGCTGCGCCCTTCTTCGGCGAACCCCTCGATGCGCCCCAACCATGCAGTCCACCTGGGTGGGGCCTCCGCGGTTTGTAATGACTTTGGTCTGAGGAGCACCATGCACGGGCCCTTCTCAAGCTTGCCTTCAATCTTCTTCTGGGATTCACTAGGATCGGCCGAAGCAGCCCTGGGCCCAAGTCGTTCAGCGCCGTCAAAGATGATCCGGCGGCTTCTTCGTGCAGGGGTGAGGCATTCTCCTTCGGACATAGATGCCTCGGATCGTGCAATGGAGCTATCTCTCTCATGTGTCCAGCTAACCCTGCGGGTAGGGCGAGCACAACCACCAAGGTCCGTCAGGTGGTGCTTGCAGAGGGGAACTCCCTGTTTGGCACCATCAACCTGTTCGTAGCAAGCCAACACGCTGCATTTTCGGCTTGAACATGCCGCCACGTAGAGCTGCCGATGATGGTCGCAAAGCCTGACGGAGGATCTCCTTTTGACGTCAGAGAGTTCTCTGTCCCTCTCCAGGAGCCGGACCGGCTCTCCGATAGCACGATCTGCACATGGGTCTGTGGCCAATGCTCTCGGTTTGCCTCCATGTTCCAAACCGACTAATACGGCCTCACAAGGGTCATCTTGTACCTCTACTTCAGATTCAGATTCCGCATCCAAGGGTCTGACGACGGCTCCTTCGACTATGGTTCTGGGTGGCGTCCGCTTTGCCCAGAGTTGTCTGAGAATGAACCATCCCGTCAGATAGTACACGCAGAGACTAAGCCCCCGCACCATTCTACGTAGCCATCGACCCATCAAGACGATCACCCTGCGGGTGGACCACCCTGCATAAGCTCCCAAATCCACCAGCCCATTGGCATCCACCGAAGCGTAAGCTTTGCAATGTAGACCGGGTGTTGGTTGCAATTCAAGCGGACACCGCTGCTCGCGACAGAGATGGATTTTCCCCTCCTGTTCCAACGTTTGGCGAAGCGCTTTCGACGTGGAACCCTTCACTCCACGGAGACGAACCCATAACCCGTATCGATCCACACGTGCCCAATGATCCCCGTCTACCTTCAAGCGAGCTATTTGGTCATTCACCACAACAGCTACGTCATTGGGTTTTCTTTCTGAACCTCGACCCTTGACGCCTCGTTGGTAGAATTCGGAATCGACGCCCCCGCTAGAGGCGGGTCCACGGATATCCAGCTTTTCGTATGTGCCCCCAGGTCTAAGTTCGGGGAGGAGCTCCCCCACCTCTTTGGCTACTGCTCTGGTCTGTCTGCAGCAACATTTGCAGAAAGCTTGACAGGGCCGGCAGATAACCAATAGCAAGTAGAGAATCAAAATTGCTCCCAAAACCACGATGGCACTTAACAAACATCTGGCAACCCATGGCCAAAAATCTCCGCATGTCCACACCCCCAGCTGATCCAAGAAGTACAATCCCCACCCTCCTGAGGAGCTCAGGGTTCCAGGTGCTGTTGGTGTGCTGAACCATGAGGAGCCTATCCATGAACGGAAATCAAAGTGGAGGACAGAGTATCCCCACACATGGGCTATTCCTTCAAACGGGATTCCAGATTGAGAACTTTCCTTCGTGGGATCGGACTGACCTTCTGATACTTCGGGTTGATCTTTCCCATTGGTGACTTCTTCCTCCCTAGATCCAGTCATCCCATGAAAGACATCCAGGTACCATGGCAGGCCATACACAGAAGGGGAACCTACACTGGAAACTAGCCCTAATATGAGCGCCCAATTGCAAATGGGCATTATGACGATTTCGTCAGTATCCAACAATCAAAACGGGCAAAGACTTGAGCCCAAAATGACAGTAGCAAAACACGCTAACCCTCCGTTCTAGTGAACATCCAATTTACCCTCTGGTAAACATACAAATAGCTATGGAAAATGGCCCATTTATAGTTGATTTACCCATTTATAGTGAGTTTTCCCATTCAAAATGGTGGATCTTTCCATCGTTTTTTTGTATGTTTACCAGAGGGTATGCTATGGAACACGACCAATTTATGGACGATTCAAGCACGGTGATGTTCGGTAACCAATCCTTCCAAGGCGGGGGCCACCCAACGGTAGCCAACGTTGGTGAACATAACTACCCCCTGGTAAACGTCGACAAAAAACGATGGAAAATCACCATTATTGATGGGTAAATCCACTATTTCTATGGTCATTTTCAATAGCAAACTGTTAAATTACCAGAGGTTAAGTGAAAAACTCTGTTTTATGTAAATCTATAGCAACTTATAGTTTGAGAGCATAATAGATAATTGGTTATATCAATCGACGAGTTGGTTTTGAACGAAGTTATGGCTATAATCTAAGTCATGGCTACCAACTAGTTATAAACATCATTGATATATGTATATATAATAGACATGATCCATACCAATGGTTATATAATACTTGGGTATTACATATCTATGTCAACTTATAACTGGTTGATATAAGATGTTTATAATTCATAGATAAGTTACAAGTTGCCATACTTGATACATAGTTATATATATAGATAATAGATATGTTTAATACCAATAGATAAGTTGGTTATGTTTATACATATTATATATATACAATGTGGTTAAAACAATGCCATAAACCATCCCCCAAATCACCATTTTTATAGGTGGTATGTTTACCATTCCCAGTCATGGGTGGTTTACGACATAGTTTCAACTTAGAACTGGTTGATATAATAGTTATGATTACTAGATAAGTTGTAGCTTACCATAATTGACATATAGTTATATATGTATATAACCATATCTATACACACATGTGATATGTGTATATATATATATGTGCACATACACCTCTGGTAAACATACAAAAAACGATGGAAAGATCCACCATTTTGAATGGGTAAATCCACTATTTCAATGGCCTATTTCAACCCACAGGCACCGACACGGCGCTGACCTCGCTGCTGAGGCGCGGCTCTTGCAGCGTGGGCCACGGCGTGGCGTGCGCCTGGCGGCCGGGGAGTGGGAGATCCCGGGGCCGGGGTGGGAACGGTGGGGGGTTCCCCCCGGCTTGGCGCTTTCCGAAAGAAATGGGGAATGGGATTTTCACCATCGAATATTGGAGATTTTCATGAGATTTTCACGGGATTTTAATGAAATTTTAATGGGCTTAATGTGGTTAAAACATACCAGTAATGGATTATCTACTACAGTATATATAGTGGATATAAGGATATACCATTCATACTCTCATGGTGGATATACCATTAATGTGGATAAGACAATGTCATAAACCACCCATGACTGGGAATGGTGAACATACCATCTATAAAACTGGTGATGACTGGGGGATGGTGCAAATGGCATTGTTTTAGCCACATTATACCATAACTCACAAAACTATGGTAAACGTCTCCATAACTATGGGAAATCACCACTTTTAATGTGTGAATCAACGAAGTAAATGAGCATTTTCAATAGTAGCCAAATAATAATGGGGATAGATTAGCAATGGTGACCTCGAAATGAGATGAAATGGTACAGTATAACTATAGAAATCTATAGAACTATAACTGAGGATATTTTCCAATGGTAGTTTTCCGTTTGTTGTTAGATTAACAGAGGGTGACTCCAAATCCACTTCAGGTCGTTGCATGCTCTGCTGCGCCACGTCATCGGTGGCCTGGGATGGGATGAGTGTCCCGGATGATCCACACGTGATGCATATAATGTTAGTCTTATCTATTCTAATCTTATCTCATAGTATCTCATAGTATCTCATAGTATCTCATAGTATCTCATAGTATCTCATAGTATCTCATAGTATCTCATAGTATCTCATAGTATCTCATAGTATCTCATAGTATCTCAAAGTATCTCATAGTATCTCATAGTATCTCATAGTATCTCATAGTATCTCATAGTATCTCATAGTATCTCATAGTATCTCATAGTATCTCATAGTATCTCATAGTATCTCAAAGTATCTCATAGTATCTCATAGTATCTCATAGTATCTCATAGTATCTCATAGTATCTCATAGTATCTCATAGTATCTCATAGTATCTCATATTTTTTCATAGTATCTCATAGTATCTCATAGTATCTCATAGTATCTCATAGTATCTCATAGTATCTCATAGTATCTCAAAGTATCTCATAGTATCTCATAGTATCTCATAGTATCTCATAGTATCTCATAGTATCTCATAGTATCTCATAGTATCTCATAGTATCTCAAGTCTTCCTCTCTCTCTCTCTCTACGGATTTCGCCATTCTCACGGCGAGGCAACGACTCGCTGACTCCGGTGGCTGATGCAGGCGACTCGGAGGCACGGAGGAAATGCTGCTGCTTGATGAGAAAGATGGAACTGTCTGGAACTGTTAGAACCATAGGAAAACCATAGGAACACCATAGGAAAATCATAGGAAAATGGAGGTTTACCCTCTGGTAAATGTTTACATAGCTATGGAAAATTGCAATCTTTAAATTTAATGGGTAAATCAACTAGGCTAATGGATGCTAATTAATAGCGAATTTCCAAAAAATCTTTCATCCAACTTTGGCCCATATTTTGGTATCACTAACGGATACTAACGGTGTAAAAGAAGACTTGCTCCGCAGCCCGTGAAACACCGGTGGGTTCAAGATGGGCGCGACCCCGTCTTTCGGTCTCGGCGAAGAAGTCGAGAAAGCCCCAGGCTCCGCAGGTGCCATCCACAGCCACAGCTGTGCCATGGGTGGTTGGAGAAAATTGGGGTAATAGATCAGACAAAAAACACCAGTTATTCAGGATTTCCTGGGAGTTCTCAATTTTTTTCATAGTTTTTTCCATAGCTTTTGGTGGTTATGTCTAATGTGGGTAAAACAATGTCATAAACTACCCATGACTGGGAATGGTAAACATACCACCTATAAACATGGTGATTTGGGGGATGGTTTATTGTTTTGCCCAAGTTAGACATAACCAAAAACTATGGAAACGTTACGGAAAAACTATGGGGAACCCCCAGGAAATCCTACATAAATTCGTGAATTTGATGGTAAAACAATAAATGTGGCAAAACCAAAAATGGACCATGCAACCAAAGGTTTTTTTCAGGACATTTTACATCATCCCAGTCCTATACGCCGAAAAAAAAGCGATCATCAAACCCCCAGTGGGGATGGTTTATGGTTGGGCTTACCACATCCGCAACTCTGGCAAACGTTTACGCAGCTATGGAAAGATCCACCATTTTCAATGGGTAAATCCACTATTTCAATGGCCATTTTCAATAGCAAATTGTTAGTTTACCAGAGGGTATCCGCAACAATTGTTGGTCGCAGATTTAATGATAAACTTGCAAACATTGTTTCTTTTTCTAGTTCGGAGGCGGGTAAAAAAACGGTTCCTTAGCCAAAAAGAATCCTTAAGAACATAAGGCTACGATATTTTGTTGATGTAGCCCTGATGCCGTGGCTGATTACTAGCCATGGCTACAGCATGTTGCAATTGGCAAATGGTTTCTGACCACGGGTTCGACAAGATACGCATGGAAAATCAATATCATGGACACTATTGATAAAATGAAATATGACCCTCTGGTAATTTAACAGTTTGCTATGGAAAATGGCCCATTGAAAGAAATAGTTGATTTACCTATTAAAGATGGTGATTCTCCATGGCTATGTTAAATTACCAGAGGGTATCAGTTTTGTTGCCACCTTCAGTCCTGGTTAATACCGCCTTTTACTGAATTTTGAGATCCCACCACGACCGAAGGTGCCAACAAAAAAGGAGGTCGTTCCTGGTTTGAATCGCAAAGAAGGAGAAACATGAGAAACATAGCATGGCCCTCCGGAAACCTCTATTCCTTGCTGTTTTTCTGCAGACTCTATGCCAGTATCTCTGGGTTCAAAAGGCTGTTTCGACAACTTGTCGTTTACAGTGGTTCAGCCACGGGCCTTTTTGTTTGCGAGTTTTAAACGCATCCCCAAGAGTCTGACTATGTTTGATTTGCCCTGGCCAGCTGGGATTGAGTTACATGATTCAATCTTACAAACCTGGATCATTGATGATAATTAGCCTGATTATACCCAGATATTTCTATCTTGTTGGCGCCAGGTGGAGAGGTTGAGCATTGACAGAGCAATGTTCAACCCAATCATCTTTCAGGCCGTGGCTGTGGTTTTTGGGGTGTCACTGGTTGGCCTCGCGAATGGATTGGGGATTTTTTTTTGGTATCCCCAGATGACCAAACTTTTAAAATTGAACTCTTCGGATTTATTCAGATTTGCCGATTTAGGTGTTTGGAGGTCTGTGGCAACATGTCTTTTTCTCATCTGGTGAAAGCCAGAAGCGATAGAATTCCGCGGCTCTGCTCCGCGCTCAAAACCTCAATTCCAAGACATGCTCATATCACTTTGACCATTGAATCATCCAATTCGGCTATTTTTGATGCATCTGATCCATCTGGGGTTGTCTCACAATTTGGAATCAGCATGTTCGCATCTGTTCCACATTTTTGATGGCCATGAGGTTTAGCGGTAAATCCACCCATGTGAAGATAAATCCACCTATGCATTGACCGAAGGCCAAATGAGCAGTGTTGCCATGTTGTTTGATTATTAGCTTATGATATGTGGTTTAACTATCCAATATGATTATATATATATATATCGATATATATATATATATGTATATATACATATATATATATATGCATATAGTATATGATGCATATATACATATTAGGGACTATTACAGTAACCCCATGGCTTCAGCCATCCCCAAACCCAGCAGCAACTTCTCGGAAGTTAGGCGCCGCGGGCGTCGTACAACAAGAACTCCTTTCCACGGAATCTCTGCACCATCCCATGGAACCCAATGATCTCACCAGGCGTGACCTGGGCCGGGATGACCTGGAGGGATTCACACCACACCTGATGGCCACATAGCATGGGATGACCTGGATGATGACCTGGGGATATGGATTTAAAGATGGGTTAATGATGGGTTAATAGTTAAATATCGTTTTTTTTTATTCACGAATCCATAGTGATTCAGCAATATGGATTTAAAGATCACTAGACTTATGGAGATTATATATAGTTAATATTCACTAATCAGTCTAGTTATGGGTATATAATATGGCTAGTTTGACCTATTATAGTATTTGACTCATTTCACCAATGGGTTTAAATATAGTTAATATTCACTAATCCATAGTCCAGTGATTCAGCAATATGGATTTAAAGATCACTAGACTATGGATTAGTGAAAGAAGTTCGTGGTGGATTTAGCCAAGAAAACGGTGAGACTGGGGTATATCCCGCTGAAAACAATCCTTTAATGGTACTCCTGGCCTTTGGCAGCCATTTTTGTTGTAGCCACAGGGTAACAATGAGGTCAGGCCTGGATTTTATCCAACCACAGTGGATTTCCTCATGGCACAATCAACTCCAAGGACCCGATTCACATTGATTCTGACCAGGGACCCTATCCCTTAAATCAATGGCCTAAATTTCAGGGAATATCCCCACAAAATATGGCCTGAAAAATGGTACTAACGTACCTCCATTTTAGCTTCCTGAAATGACCATTGAAGGGACCCTATCCCCTAAATCCATCTAAATCCAAGGATCCTATTTGATTCAGTGGGTCAGACCTCAGACTAAACGGCGTTCCGTTTCAGGCCGCACCGGCGGGGTGCCGTGCCTCTGGTTCCCGGCGCCTAAGGCGGCATCGGTGGTGATGCCACCTGTCCGCTTGGAGATGTCATTACCCATAGGATCCATGGTGCTGCTATATATGGTAACATGGATCCCATCAATATACCCCAAATGTTAGCATATATACCATACATGGATCCTATGGGTTATGGTATCATTGATCTGGGTAAATTATAACGACCTCACTGTTCTCCCTCACTGGAATCATGCTTAGTAAGGGAAATCATCCCCAAATGGCCTTAATTCAGGTTAGTGAAATATTATAATTTACCCAGATTATGGTATCATTGATTGATGTTTCGGTGATATATGCTGATGGATGCTATCCAAAATACATTATATTACTATATTATATCAAAATTGTAAACCTTCGATCCAGTAAGTAGGGATTTGAGCAACTATATATAATCACATATAGAATCATATATATATATATGTTTACACATTTTTTTCCCGGGTGGTTCACCATATTCTTGTTGGCAAAGTTCATATTGTAAAATGTTTGTTGCATATTTTCGATTTTGTTTTCAGGAAGTATGGATTTAACCAACAATATGATACTGTATGGGTTTTGCCCTCCAGTGAATATAGATGAGAAACCCACGATGAATCAAAGTAGATGATTTTCCGTCGATTTCCCATGGTTTTTGCATATTTATATATGTGAATTTACTGGAGGGTAAACAACACTTTTTGTTGGGTTTAAAGTTTAAAACATCAGTTATCGGTGGTCAGTTGAAACAGCACTTTTTGGTGGTTAAATGATCTCAAATGAGCAACGTGACTTATGACAAATACGCTAATATCTTTCTGGGCAGTTGAGAACAACCTCACTCAGCATCAATCGTAGCAAGCAGGACTATTCATCCAAGAATCCCTGGATGAAGGGGGCATTCAGATCATTCAGGGTGCCCCCGAAGCTCAATGGTAAAAGCAATGGCTTCTGTCAAATGTCCCTTAAACTAACCACTAAGCCCAATAACAACCGAGTGCTTGTTTCAAGTTTGCAACATTTTAATGATTTGCCCAGATCCAGTTTTGGACTTGGGTGAAGAACACATGATAGGAACTCTGAAGAACTCGAACTGCAACAAGAATCATGCTGGCCAGTTGCGATCCGTGGAATGAAACTTCTGTGCAAGCACGAATCTCTCGTGATTTCCAACTGAAGCACAGTTCTGGCGACCTGCTCATACCGAAAACAACTTGGTCAATCTTGGTCAATACTTGATCCCTTTCAACATCACATTGCATTTTGTTTTCTGTTTCTTTTCGGCCAGAATCTGGTTGGTGGTTTGGAACATTTTTTTATTTTTCCATTCAGTTGGGAATTTCATCATCCCAACTGACGAACTCATATTTTTCAGAGGGGTAGGTAGGTCAACCACCAACCAGGAATTGTGTTTTTTGTTTTGTTGATCGGAAAGCCAGCTGCAGTTGCCGAGGTACTTCCATGCCAACTCCGAGGACATCGGAACGGCATTCCACTTTGTGAAGCACATGCGCGACCAGTTCAAGGCGCTTCGCGTCGCCACGACGACAACGGAAAGCCCAGCAGAAAACGTTGGACACCTGGGAAAACCTGGGGGAAAATCAATCTTTTTGGGGATCAAAGGGAGAATTGCTGGAAGGGAAGAGTCGCCCCCCAAAATCATAACTGCCATCGAAAATCAGGAAATTCCGCCTTCAAAATCACGGATTCTGGTCCCTTCCTGGAAATCATGGATTCTGATAGTGCTAGAATTGGATTCCAATACATTCTGAGATATTCATATATTCTGATCCATATTTTCTGCATCTCGAAGATCCATTCCATGGATATCTCCACGGAATTTCTCCATCGCAGCTCTAATTGGCGTGATTCCCATGGGATTCCGGGTAGGTCAATGTGATCTCCATCGAATACCCGGGCTATGGTCTTCTGCAGGGGATCGAGCCTACCGAGGAGGTCCGTTGCTGTTGCTGGGCTGCTGGGCTGAGGCCATCCCCATTATTTCACAGCATCTCATAAACCAAAGTTATATGTAATATATAGAAATATGGATTATCTATATGTAATATAATATGAATATTATGACCATAGTGATATAAAAGAATCTACAAATTTGTTATCCATATATGAATTTTGGATAAACATATTGTTAGGGATAAACATATATATATATATATATAAATGGATATATATATATACACGTATATGTATATGTGTATATATATACAACCATAGTAAGATGAAATATGGACCAAATCATATGGAGGTTTTTATGAAACCATCATCTGCAACTGGAATATTTTTTGAAATGCCCCAGTTATCAACAGAGATGTCCTTTTCCCACTGTTTGGTTTGTGAAAAACGAGGGGCACCCCCTTTTGCACGACCATTCTGGGTGCCAGAAAACGTCATTGGGCTGGAATAAGTGAACATAGGTAGGGTTCATTCAACCGCACACGGCCAATGTGTTCATGGTTTGCGGTTTCTCCCCAAGATTGATACCTCGAGGATCATCCCACTTACCCTCTGGTAAACATACAAAAAGCTATTGAAAATTGCCATTGATAGTGGATTTACCCATTAAAAATGGTGGTTTTCCATCGTTTTTTGTTAACGTTTACCAGAGGGTAGTGAGATATGTGGCATGGTCAAGTTGGATGTTGCCATGGGATGGATGACCATAAACTAATTATATACCCATCATCGACTTTCCAGTATGCCACAAAAAGGTTCCCGTGAGATTCCTATAAAATTAACATACATTAAAATTAACATAATTTTAGTTGTTTTTTTCTCACCATCCAACTTGACCATGGCACATTTTTTGGGGTCTGAAGGCCATTTACAGATGGCGCGATCTGACCTATCTGACCTGGGCGGGTCGTACACCCAAGATCTCGCTTAAGTTTTATGATGTTTGGGATTTATCTGGCTTGGTGGTTTGGCATGAAAAATCATGAAAAATTGGGATATGGTGGGTATATAAACAATTAAAAACTGAGGGGTAGGTTGAAACATGTTGAAACCACCAACCAGTTATGTTCCACATCAGGTTTTTCGCAACCCCAAAGCTCGGACCAGCACTTTTCATAACACCTGGTGTCCCGCATTTCCCTTGTGCTTCCCTTCCATTTCCGTCCATTTTCCACGCAACTTTGAAGAAATATATCTGGAAACATCATGGAGAAAATCCGTCAAAATCCCTTCAACGCCAGACCATCTTTGAAAAAACCAATACATCATCTAATCTATGGAACAAAACAAAACATCAAAAAACTCAGAAATCGCCAGACCATCTTTGAAGTGGCGCTGACGGTCTTCAGATATTTGGTGGATGATTTGCGGGTGAGCTACAGCTCCGTCATCGTCTTCGGCCGATCACTGGGCAGCGGTCCCGCCATCTTCTTGGCCGCGCAATATCCGTGGCTGGAGCTGGGAAATCCAGGAACTAAACCATGGGAACAGATAGGACATCCTCATAAACCTTAGGAAAAGATAGGAAAACAATGGGAAATCTCCTATAAACAATAGGAACATATAGCAAAACTGTGGGAAATCCCCTATAAAACCATAGGAAAATATAAGAAAGCTATGCGAAATCCAGGAACTAAATGGAAGCTTGAGTTGGAACAATAATCCATAACTTAGGGATTTTCCAGCACGCAATGTTTGATTGCCAGAGGGCAAGAGGATTTGGGTCCACAAAAATGCTGGATATCATGGGATATCCTGAAAAAAAAATGCCAGTTTGATGCGCTGTGATCCCAGCCAGTTTAGTGGGGGGTTTACACATATTTGGGACGAGATATGGATGGTGCTGTTGAAGATTAGGGGATATGGATGGTGGGAGGATGACACACCTGATTTTGGGGTAGCCGACTTTTCAGACAAAGCCATGGTTTGGTGGACTGAATTCGTATAACTAACACAGATGTGGATAGGCACATTCCAAGTCTCCATGGCTTGGGGTTGGCATTGTTCCAAGTTTCTGGTGGTTTTCTGTCACTGAAACAAGTCCCTTTTTTCTAACCAGAGTTGGATCCAAGTCTGCCACACTTTTTGGGGGCGAATCCGACTTTTGGTTGGCTATGTTCCCAAGTTTTGTCCGTGAGCTCCCTCCACTGCCAGGCTGGTTAGTTCAAGAATTTCTGTCAGATAGATCCTACCTTTGTTCTATCCTTGTTGATGGGCTGATTTTCTTAGGTTTCTAAGAATGCTTTGCAAAGGATAAGACGCACTTGTACTGGTGGTTGTGGAAGAGAATGAAGTTGCCAACCAAGTACCGACTGTAAGGATGGTCTGTGAGCAATTTGTGTTTCTGGTCCTTAGAGGGCTTGTACTCCGGATATTTGGGTAACTGGCCATAGCCTCTTTGTCACTAATGAATTAGCCCCTCAAAAGGACCCTTTTGGTTGATGGCAATTGAGACGTGAGCAAAACCGTTGTTGGTGAGTTTTAGCAGGGCGTACACTACTGTATCTGGTTTATTTGGATTATACCCTCTGGCTATATAACATAGCCATGGAAAATAGCCTATTTATAGATGGTTTACCTATTAAAAATGGTGATTTTCCATGGCTATGTTAAATAACCAGATGGTATATCATGACCCACGATCTGGGTAGAACTAGCCATTATCATGTACTTACTTTCACGATCATCCCCCAATGTTCTACACTCCATTTTGCAATTTTCCCATGGCCTTGTCAAAGCTCATGGCCTACCTGGTGGGAAAGAGTTTCTACATGTTTCTAGTTACTCACCTATCAACCATGTCCATTTGAATTTAAATCACCATGCTTGATGAGTAAATAAATGGTTGATGGGTAATGATGGGGAAATAAATGGTAAATCACCATTCATTTAAATCAACCATTTGATGGCTAAATGGAGGTTTCCTAAAATGGGGTGTATCCCAATAGCTGGATGGTTTATAATGGAACATACAAAACAACAATGGATGATAACTGGGGGTACCCCCATGACTTAGGAAACCTCCAAATACCCTCTGGTAAACGTTATTACATAGCTATGGAAAATCACCATTTTTCATGGGAAAATCCACTATAAACACTATAAATGGCCATTTTCAATAGCTATTTTGACATAACCAGAGGATAAATCACCATTAGTCACCATTAATCACTACTAATCACCATTAATCACTATTTCTATGGCCATTTTCAATAGCTTTTTGTATGTTCACCAGGCCGGGTAACCATTTTCAATAGCCGGAGCCGAGGTTGGGCGGCATGATCCTGGTCTCTCCCTTCATCAGCATCCGCGCGGCGGCGCGGCACATCGGTGGCCGGCTGGTGGCCTTCTTGTTTAGCAACGTCTTCCAGAACCAACGGAGGCCGGGATCCAGGGGACCTCCAGGGGACCCTAGGGCACCTCCAGGGGACCCGTCCCGGGGTGGGTGTAAGGGGGTGTTTTTAGGGGTTGAAAAGATTGGAAAGTGGCCTGAATCGAGGTGATTGGAGAGGGTTTATGACTTACAACTTGCAAAGCTTGACATGATCCATGTGGGAATTGGCTGAGAACTCCATTTCAATCCTTGAAGTATCTTGAAGTTGTCAAAAACTACGGCTTGTACTACGAGTGGCCACTACTGGCTGTTGCACCTAGACCCCTGGGGTTTCACTGGTGAATTGGGATCCTTACAAGCTACCAGAATGCGAATAACACCATTGAGAACAATCCGTAGCATTTGTGGACACAACAAGAAGCACCCAGCCTCCAAAGAACCTCCGGTTCTCCATTGGATCTGTTCAAATTGGGGTCCCATTTATGGGGGCTTATTTGGAGGGACGGGACGAGTCAGCATTGTGGATTTGATCGAGCCCAATTTTTGCTGTTTTCATTTCCCATTTGCTGCTCACAAGGGTTTCCATTCTTGTGAAGTCCTCAAGCTTTTGTTGCTTAGATTCCCGTTTTGGCTAAAATCCCCAAGGTGTTTGATGAAATCCACGTGGTTGCAGCATCCTCAACGCCAGCGAGATCTTACTTAACCCCTGCCGGCACGCCACAGGATGGTGAACGTCTCATGCCCCGTGCTGTTTATCCACGGTGCCAGTGATTCGCTGATTCCGGTGGAGCACTCCAAGACGTTGTTTGGCCTCTGTCGCTCGCGGAAACTGCTGGTTACACCCGCCAAGATGGATCACAACAGTAGCATGTTTAGCGATCCGAAACTTTGGCTGAAGTTGAGGGATTTTGAAATTAATGTTACCCTCTGGTAAACTAACATAGCTATGGAAAAGCACTATTTTTAATGGGTAAATCCACTATAAATGGCAATTTTCAATAGCTATGTTAGTTTACCAGAGGGTAGTAAAACAATAATAACCCATCCCAAAAATCACCATAAATGGGTGGTATACATCATTCCCAAGTGGGTGGTTTATGGCATTGTTTTTCCCACATTAATTGGGCTTAAAACACCCAGGGTTTGAAACATAATGTTGTCTTTTTTTCAATCCTAAGGTGCGTAGACATTGGGATTGAAACAGCGAAACTCAATGGTTTTTTTTTCTAATGGCGGTATTAGCCGTGGTATTAGCCAACCGTGGAAACTAGTGGAAACTAGGGTCAAAGGTCCGAGTTAAAATAAAGGATGGATTAGAGGGCCACCTCGGACGGAACTCCAGGTGGGGTTTATTTTTGCGTGGCCATTGCGCTTAGCCATTTATTGAATGGCTGGTTGGTGGTGACTGGAACATTTTTTATATATTTTTCCCATGATATTGGGAATTTCATCATCCCAACTGACGAACTCACTCCATCATTTTTCAGAGGGGTAGGTCAACCACCAACCAGATGGGATAACCAGGGCCCAGGAATTTCGTCGGACTTTTCCAGATTTCTCGACTTCAGTTTTTGAGGAATGCCTTTGCTGTGCCGGCGATCCACTTCTTCGGCTTTCCGGGTTGGAGGACATCTGAACACGGTAAAGTTGAGAATGGTGGGTCATGACAATCTATTGCTATCTCCCGTATTGTTACTTTGATATATATATATAATTATATATATAGAATGGGCTAGCGCCCTGGTGCCGCCGACCCCCTATTTGGGGGGTCCTGTAGAGAGAGGGAGAGAGAGAGAGAGAGAGAGGGAGAAAGAAAGAAAGAAAGAAAGAAAGAAAGAAAGAAAGAAAGAAAGAAAGAAAGAAAGAAAGAAAGAAAGAAAGAAAGAAAGAAAGAAAGAAAGAAAGATAGATAGATAGATAGATCGATACATAGAGAGATAGATAGATACAGAGAGAGAGAGAGAGATAGATAGATAGATAGACAGATAGACAGATAGACAGATAGACAGATAGACAGATAGACAGATAGACAGATAGACAGATAGACAGATAGACAGACAGATAGACAGATAGACAGATAGACAGACAGACAGAGAGACAGAGAGACAGACAGACAGACAGACAGACAGACAGACAGACAGACAGATAGATAGATAGATAGATCGATGGATAGATAGATAGATAGATAGATAAATAGATAGACAGACAGATAGATAGATAGATAAATAGATAGATCGATAGAATACACCCATGTTACACCCATCGGAGCACCGTAGATCCATCGGAGCACCGTAGATTTTGGCGCTTCTTTAGGGATCGACCCAGACCATGTTAGATATCTGATAATGATATGTGTAGATTCTGTTTTCGAGACTCACAGATCTAAATTCTCCATTCCTTCGCACATTGGAGAGCTGCTCGGACGGAGAACCACCTCAAGGTCTGAGGCAAACCTACGAGGACCAAACAGATGAAGAGAGGTCAGAATACATTGTATATAGTAACCCCCAGAAAAATAGAGAAATATATGAATTCCGGTGGCACATTGTTTTTCTATTTGCTTTGAAGGTTTATACTCATACTTTTAAGGTTTTTAAGGGTTTGGAGGGTTTTAAGGGTTTAAGGGCTGGCAAACGGCAGGCTTGGACGCCCATAAGAAGCCATTGATGTGTGGCCTTGGGGTGCCTGTTGGCTGCAGGATGAAGCATGCCAAGGGATTGTTTAAGCGGCCCATAAGAAGCCATTGATGTGTGGCCTTGGGGTTGCTGTTGGCTGCCAGATAAAGCATGCCCAGGGATTGTTTTTAAGGGGTTTTAAGGTTTTTAAGGGTTTGAGGGGGTGTTTGGAGGGTTTTAAGGGTTTAGGGGCTGGCAAACGGCAGGCTTGGACGCCCATAAGAAGCCATTGATGTGTGGCCTTGGGGTGCCTGTTGGCTGCAGGATGAAGCATGCCAAGGGATTGTTTAAGCGGCCCATAAGAAGCCATTGATGTGTGGCCTTGGGGTGGCTGTTGGCTGCAGGATGAAGCATGCCAAGTAAGCGTTTTAAGGGTTTGAAGCGTTTGGAGCCTTTGGAGGGTTTTAAGGGTTTAAGGGCTGGCAAACGGCAGGCTTGGACGCCCATAAGAAGCCATTGATGTGTGGGTGCCTGTTGGCTGCAGGATGAAGCATGCCAAGGGATTGTTTAAGCGGCCCATAAGAAGCCATTGATGTGTGGCCTCGGGGTGGCTGTTGGCTGCAGGATGAAGCATGCCAAGTCAGCGTTTTAAGGGTTTTAAGGTTTTTAAGGGTTTGGAGGGTTTGGAGGGTTTGGAGGGTTTAACGGCTGGCAAACGGCAGGCTTGGACGCCCATAAGAAGCCATTGATGTGTGGCCTTGGGGTGCCTGTTGGCTGCAGGATGAAGCATGCCAAGGGATTGGGGGGTTTAAGTAAAAGCGGGCCCATAAGAAGCCATTGAATGGTGTTGGCCTCGGGGTGGCTGTTGGCTGCAGAATGAAGCATGCCAAGTCGCGTTTAAGGGTTTTAAGGTTTTTAAGCGTTTGGAGGGTTTGGAGGGTTTGGAGGGTTTTAAGGGTTTAAGGGCTGGCAAACGGCAGGCTTGGACGCCCATAAGAAGCCATTGATGTGTGGCCTTGGGGTGCCTGTTGGCTGCAGGATGAAGCATGCCAAGGGATTGTTTCAGCGGCCCATAAGAAGCCATTGATGTGTGGCCTTGGGGTGGCTGTTGGCTGCAGGATGAAGCATGCCAAGTAAGGGTTTTAAGGTTTTTAAGGGTTTGGAGGGTTTTAAGGGTTTAGGGGCTGGCAAACGGCAGGCTTGGACGCCCATAAGAAGCCATTGATGTGTGGCCTTGGGGTGCCTGTTGGCTGCAG